ACTTCGAAGACCTCCTCAATCCCACCGACACGTCTTCCAGTGAGGAAGCAGAGTCTGGGGACTTTGGGTTGGCCTCTCAAATCTCTGGTGCTGAGGTCACTGAGGTGGTTAAAAAGCTCCTCTGTGGCAAGGCTCCAGGGGTGGATGAGATCCGCCCGGAGTTCCTTAAGGCTCTGGATGTTGTGGGGCTGTGTTGGCTGATGCAGCTCTAAAATATCGCGTGGACATCGGGGGCAGTCCCACTGGACTGGCAGACCGGGGTGGTGGTCCCCTTATTTAAAAAGGGGGACCGCAGGGTGTGTTCCAACTACAGGGGGATCACACTCCTGAGCCTTCCTGGTAAGGTCTATTCAGGGGTTCTGGAGAGGAGGGTCCGTCGGATTGTCGAACCTCAGATTCAGGAGGAGCAATGTGGTTTTGGTCCTGGCCGTGGAACACTGGACCAGCTCTATACCCTTAGGGGGATCCTGGAGGGTGGGTGGGAATTTGCCCAAACAGTCTACATGTGTTTTGTGGATTTGGAGAAGGCGTTTGACCGCGTCCCTCGGGGGGCCTGTGGGGGGTACTCCAGGAGTATGGGGTACCAGGCCCTCTGATACGGGCCGTTAGGTCCCTGCATGACCGGTGTCAGAGCTTGGTCCGCATTGCCGGCAGTAAGTCGGGCTCGTTCCCAGTGAGAGTTGGACTCCGCCAAGGCTGCCCTTTGTCACGATTCTGTTCATAACCTTTATGGACAGGACTTCTAGGCGCAGCCAAGGTGTGGACGGCATCCGTTTTGGTGGCCTGAGGATCAGGTCTCCGCTTCTTGCAGATGATGTGGTCCTGTTGGCTTCATCAGAACGTGATCTTCAGCTTTCGCTGGAGCGGTTCGCAGCCGAGGGTGAAGCAGCTGGGATGAGAATCAGCTCCTCTAAATCTGAGACCATGGTCTTGATTCTGAAAAGGGTAGAATGCCTTCTCCGGGTCAGTGATGAGGTCCTGCCCCAAGTGGAGGAGTTTAAGTATCTCGGGATCTTTTTCACGAGTGAGGGAAAACTGGAGCGTGAGATTGCAGATACAAGCGGCCAAAATGAGTTTTCTCCGAATAGTGGCTGGGCTCTCCCTTAGAGATAGGATGAGAAGCTCAGTCATTCAGGAGGGGCTCGGAGTAGACCCGCTGCTCCTCCACATCGAGAGGAACCAGTTGAGGTGGCTCGGGCATCTGGTCAGGATGCCTCCTGGACTCATCCCTAGTGAGGTTTTCCGGGAATGTCCAACCGGGAGGAGACCTAAAGGTAGACCCAGGACACGGTGGAGGGACTATGCCTCTCACCTGGCCAGGGAACACCTTGGGATTCCCCCAGAGGAGCTGGCCCAAGTGGCTGGGGAGAGGGAAGTCTGGGCCTCTCGCCTTAGGCTACTGCCCCCGCAACCTGACTCAGGATAAGCGGATGAAAATGGATGGATGGACAGAACCGACATTTTTACATTTAATTCATTGATCTTTCTGCTCTTCATAATGTGGAAATGTAGATATTTAGTGTTTATCTGATGAATAATAATAATATGATGCATTAATAACCTTAGATTTTTTAATAAAAATGTTTTTAGTAAGTTATTTTTGATTAGTTTTAAGCTTGAACTCTCTGCTCTGTATTATTTGAAGCTAGCTTTAATTGTCATTTCTCCTCCGGGTCCGGCCCAGTTGTCCAACGGGATTCGTGTCCAGCTGTCCATCCCTGTCCAGGCTGTCGTCCCCTCCTGTCAGGATAAAACGTTATTCTCCAGCTTGCTGCTTCCTCTCAATGAACAGCTCCAACAGGATGTTCAGGTTTCATCCAGCCTGTGTTTCTGCTCATTAGTGATGTTGGTGGACACCAGCAGACTGTCAGCGAGTGTCCAGCATGTCAGGAAGTCCAGCGCTGAGAGACAAGGACGTTTGTAATGAGACGAGTTGTTTTTAGATGTGTCTGTTTGCCACATGTCCATCACAGCTGAGGCCACATTCACAGTCAGTGTTGTAACCTGCTTTTTATTAAATTACCTCAGAAGGTCAAAGGTCAGGAGGTGACATGAGATCCAGGAATGATTCTGTGGATTATATCTTGTTTCTATGTCCTGCAGGAGATGTTGGATACAAGATGATTGAAGATCTGATAAGTGAGAATAATCCAACCATCCACCCATCCATCCATCCATCCATCCATCTATCCATCAATCTGTCCATCCATCCATCCATCCATCCATCCACCCATCCATCCATCCACCCATCCACCCACCTACCTACCATCCATCTATCCATCAATCTGTCCATCCATCCATCCATCCATCCATCCACCCATCCATCCATCCACCCATCCACCCACCTACCTACCATCCATCTATCCATCAATCTGTCCATCCATCCATCCATCCATCCATCCACCCACCCACCTACCATCCATCCATCCATCCATCCATCAATCTGTCCATTCATCCATCCCTCCATCCATCCATCCATCCATCCATCCACCCACCCACCTACCATCCATCAATCTGTCCATTCATCCATCCATCCACCCACCCACCCACCTACCATCCATCCATCCATCCATTCATCCATCCATCCATCCATCCACCCACCCACCCACCTACCATCCATCCATCCATCTGTCCATTCATCCATCCACCCACCCACCTACCATCCATCCATCCATTTATTCATCCATCCATCCACCCACCCATCTACCATCCATCCATCCATCCATCCATCTGTCCATCCATCCATCCACCCACCAACCATCCATCCATCCATCCATCCATCTGTCCATCCATCCATCCACCCACCAACCATCCATCCATCCATCCATCCATCCACCCACCCACCTACCATCCATCCATCCATCCATCAATCTGTCCATCCATCCATCCATCCATCCTTTCATCATCCATCCATCCTTCCTTCCATCCATCCACCCACCAACCATCCATTCATCAATCTGTCCACCCATCCATCCATCCATCCTTCCATCCACCCACAAACCCACCTACCATCCATCTATCCATCCATCAATCTGTCCATCCATCCATCCATCAATCTGTCCACCCATCCATCCATCCATCCTTTCATCATCCATCCATCCATCCATCCATCCATCCATCCATCCATTTATAGGGTTTGGTAAATTGAGCGCTTTAAGAGCTCAACAGATAGGTTACCTCTACTTACGACCAATAAGCTCTGATACTCTGTCTAAACATAGAATGTCAACCCCGACTGGTCTTTATTGTGCTTTAATCAGAAGATTCTAGGATTCTTTATTTATTAGGGGATTGTACACACTTCGTTTTGATTCAGAAAACAGTCAGGTTTATAAAAGTAATCATTTACTGTGATGTATGAAAGCTATGTGTGAATGAAATGTTAGTCAGAACTTCCGTATCTAGGAGAGGTGTGTTCTGGATGTAAAGGAATTTGGTTTGCGTTAAGCTATGAAGTTGATTGTTATCAAAACCACATCCAGACGCAATCTCACTGTGTTCTACGTACCCAGGTGGAGACACGCCCCTTTCGGATCCGAGATGTCCGGGGGGGGGGGGGGGGGGGGGGGGCAAGTACCGAAGTCGTAGATTAACTTGCAGTACGACCAGGTCAGTCCAGAGTCATCTCCAGGTAACGACAATTGGAACTAGTTTGCGTCTCAGGAATAACTCTTAAGGAGTTGAACAAATCAGCTTGCTCTGCAGGAACTATTGTGTTGTATCAGCTTCGCAGGTGCAGTAAGGTTTTGACGACGTGTCAAAAGCTTTGGTGAGTCAAAGAGGTTTTTGCTTCAGGTGGCCCATGAAGCTTCTCTAGAACTGAAGAATCACCAGAGTGACCTGGTTTTAATGTTCTCATGTTATGATTGTGTAGCCAACCAGAGGTTGACAAGTTTGAGGATATTACCAAGAATCTCAGAAACACGCCTTCTTTGATCCAGAGGCTCTGAACTGGGACAAAGGCTAATTATGGGTCATGGACTTAACTTTACCTTACTTGTTCTTGTGTGAGTGCAAATGTTATGACCTTGTCAAGTAAACATGCTGAAACATATATCATTGAGCACAGATTAATGAACATTTCATTATTTTATAATTATTATAAGAAGCAATAAACAAACGTTTATTTAATGATTATCTAGCTTGTAGGTTTTAGAAGTTCATATTTAATTTTAAAAATCTTCTTTCTTCTGTGAGCAAGGAGACTTGGATAAAAGGGGTGCTCTGTGAGGGACCTCTGAAAGAACAGGATGTCAGTGTTATGATTTTATCTTTGTCAGAGCTGCAGGCTCGGAGCTCCAGCTGGAGTGAGGAAGGCAGGTTGATTTAAAGGGAACACGTGCAGTCTCGTGTCTCCTTTTTGACTAGATGTTGAACGGTTAAACAGTACCTAAACTGACCATTGCTGGACGTTACACATCCATCCATCCATCCATCCATCCATCCACCCATCAACTATCTATCTATCTATCTATCTATCTATCTATCTATCTATCTATCTATCTATCTATCTAGCTATCTATCTATCTATCTATCTATCTATCTATCTATCTATCTATCTATCTATCTATCTATCTATCTATCTATCTATCTATCTATCTATCTATCTATCTATCTATCTATCTATCCATAATCCACCCATCCATCAATCTGTCCACCCACCCATCCATCCATCCATCCATCCTTCCATCCATCCATCCATCTATCCATCCATGTGGTTCTGATCCAGATCTGTGGACCAGTAGATCCAGTTGTTTTATATCTCAGCTACATTTTAACAACAAACCAATTGAAATACCTCAAAATATTGACTTTGTTGTTTATTTTCTACGCTTGACTCTCTAACCTTCTCTGTGACTGAGACTCGGCTGCTGACATTTTGGACGTCCCATCGTGATGCTGACGTGATTTGTGATGTAAGAAACCCCCACGGATCTGTGAAGAGCTTAGTAACATTAAACACCCAAACATCTGCAGACTTGCTGTTTGAGGTTACTGACTTGTGGAGTGCGCTCTGGTTCATCCTCTTTTCCTCACTCTCAGCATGTTGGTTATCAGCATTGATCCTTTTCTCCCAGAAGGTTTTAATGTGCAGCCGGTCGTGGATCAGAGCCAGGTTCATCTGGAAAATCAGATAAAAACACAAACTGCTGAACGCTAACTTTTCTCCTGACAGTGCATCATCCTCAGATGTTTGACTTGGGTCAAAAATGTATCAGGTGCCGAAAACACTTTTCTGAAGTCGCGTTCTGATTTGTCAACTTGTGATGTAAAAGTTTAAGAATCAGAGGATTTGGTGCCTAAAAAATGTGGTCGAAATTCTGAAGATATTTTCCTGAGAAACCTAAAGACACCACGTCAATCAGGCCTCCAGCCTCTAGATGGCAACAGCACATATCGTAAATGTCTCTGTAATAAAAGCCGTCCCTTGGCTCGCAAAATGTTTACAGTGGGAACTGATGAAAACAGCTGGGTTGAAGGGTAGAAGGAAGACTTTCAGAAACTTCTCAATCCCACTGACGCGTATTCCGGTGAGGAACCAGAGCTGGGAAACCTGTGGATGGACCCACCAATCTCTAGAGCAGAAGTCTCCGAGTCCAAAAGCCATGCGGGGGTGTCTCTCCATCCCCAGTGAGTCGTGGAGGATGGCTGCTTATACTGAGCCAGGATCCTCTGGAGGTTTCTTCCTGTTAAAAGGGAGTTTTCCTCTCCACTGTCGCTGCATGCTTGCTTAGTATGAGGATTGCAGTAACGACTCTGACACTGGTCAGTGACTCGATGCAACCTGCTGGATTCCTTATATAGGAAACTTGTTACTGATTGGCTTAATGACCTGACCTGTATTGGAATGTTTCCTGTGTGAAGGTCCTTGAGACGACTCTGGTCCTGATTTGGTGCTTTATGAATGAATTGAATTGGTGGAGCTCCAGTGGCTAGCGAGGTCCATCCTGGGTGCCTAAAGGCTGTGGATGTTGCTGGACCATCTGTATTGACATCGGGAGAGGTGGCTGTAGACTTGTCCCCATTTTTAAGAAAGAGGACTTGAGGGTTTGGATTTTCTACGAAGGGTTCACATTCCTCAGCCTCCCTGGAAAGGTCCTACTCCAACGCTTAGGTTTTGGGGAGGAGAGTACGGTTCATTGCTGAACCTCAGATTTAGGAGGAGCAATGTGGTTCTGGTCCTGGCTGGAGAACCATGGATCAAGTCTTACCCTTGCTGAGGCACTGGAAGGGTCATGAGAGTTTCCCCCCAGATCTGGGAGGGCTTATGACTGTGTCCCCAAGGGTACCCTGTGGGAAGCACTCAAGGGATTGTCCCCAGTAAGGGTTGGACTCCACCAGGGCTGCCCTTTCTGTTCATTATCTTTACGGACAGGACATCTAGCTGTGGGGTGGAAGGTGTCGAGTTTGGTGGCAGGAGGATCTTGTCTCTGCTTTGTGGAGATGACGTGTTCCTCATAGCGCCATCAAACTTCAGCTCCTTCTGAGGAGGTTTGAAGCGAAGTGTGAAGCAGCTGGGATGAAGATCAGCACCTCCAAATCAGAGGACATGGTTCTCAACTGGAAAAGGTTGGACTGCCAACTTCGGCTGGGGGAGAAGTTCCACCCGAGTGGGGGAGTCTTCTTGTTCAGGAGAGAGGTAAGGAGGGAGTGAGATCGGCAGGAGGATTGAGTCTGAATCGGTCTGCAGTGGTGAAGAAGGAGGTTCAAACACTAGTAGCTCAGACATCCAAGAGCGACTCTGGATAGAACAGCTGCTCCTCCACACCCGGGGGAGCCAGGTGACAGGGCGCAGGCATGACCTCCTGAGAGGGAACCCTGGGACAGACCCAAGACACCTGGGGTGTCATTAGAGGAGCTGGAGGAGGTGGCTGGGGCAGGACAGTCTAGATTCAAGATTCCCGGATCTGGACCATTTAGACAACCAGGTACAAGACCTGATGGATCACAGGTGCACCATCATCATCATCATCATCATGAAGTCAACAGAGAGGTGTACAGGCTGGAGCAGTTGCTCTGAAGACTTCCTGTCCTGCAGGAATCTTGTTCACCATCAACTCATCAATAAAATCTAAATTTAAAGGCTGACTCACATTTGCAGTCATAAAATAAACAGAGAGCAGCCAAAAAAAACCCTGCGAGCTGAACTTTAAACACCGAACGTGAGAAACAGATGATCTCAAAAACAAGAGGGTGGTTTTATCCCAGCAGCTGTTGGAGGATGAGCTCCAGCTCCACGAGCAAGATCCTTCGTTTCTGACTAAAAGACCAACTTCAACAAAGAAAATCGGCATTTTTCTTCTGCAGCTTCAATCACAAAGTTTGATGGTTTCAAACGGTATCTGATCTCAGGGTGAACTCATCCGGTCCTTCAAGGAGCAGCTTTAAAACGTTTGTCAAGCAAAAACAAATCATTTGATGCTGAATTTAGAGAAAATTCAGACCCGCTAAACAATAAAATGAGATTATTTTTGATTTAATTCAATTTAAATTGAAGCA